CCCCCGCCTCCCCTCCTGCTCGGCGGTTGGCGCGGCCGCTGACTCACCCGGCGGAGCCTGCCCGAGATGCTGCTGGAGCACGCGCCGCCGCCGCCACCCGCAGGCGCAAACACTGCGGCGCCCACGCCAGGACGCACCTGCCTCCGGGCGAGGGCAACAGGGCGCCTGGGGCGCGGGGCTCTGCACGCCCGGGAATATTTGGGTGGCCAGGTTGGCGGCAATGGCTGCAGGGCTGTTTCCCTTTTCTAAGGGAATGTGAAATGTAGCACTACTACTCTTTCCAAGATGTTTATACTTTTGACAATGAACTATAAAAAAAAGAATGTTAGTAACATAAAGCTGTGGAATACATTTGGAAGGGGGTTGTAGTTACTCTTTCCCAGGATATTATCTAAATTAATACAATTTCGATTTGAACAATACAATTAAATCAATACTTTTAAATACCACTAAAATAATTTATGGAATTTAATATTATAAGCATTAGTTTTATTTTAATATTATTTCGGTTTCAATTTAACTTTTGTCAGTTTATTCGTAAATTACTATGTGCACGGGCATCGAAATTCAGAAACTGCACTTCGTAGACACAGGGATTTAGGATTAATTTAAAGAAATGCACAATGTCATAACGATGGAAATATTGAATATATATTCGTCTTTTAATTTAGATAATAGTATTTTGAAACTACACCTATTTTAATCACACCCTTATGTGATTTCAGAAATAAAAAAGTTTTGATTTTATATTGATTAAAATCTTCCTGGATAGTGATATACTATATTTGGTTTTTTATGAGAGATAATGAACATTTCGCCGTAAAAATGGGATTTGTTAATCTTTGGAAGAAAACTCTTTTAAGAGAACAATAAAAGCAAGCCAAACGCGGACTTACAATTTTTTTACGGTAACACTTAAATCACTTATATTGAACTTTAAATAATTTTAAAATTTCAACAATATATAGTTCGATTATTTTATATATTATATTACAGTCTGAAGGTTATTAAACATAGAAAAGGATCGACCAATTCAACAGACATTCTAAACCGTAGTAATATATATGGACAAACATATTAGTTAACAAAGTAACAAGTCATTAATTCTATTTGTAAAGTGTTTCAGTATCACAGTGCAAAGTCTGTGTTCAAAGGAACAAAAATAACAAATAAAAACTGTCAGAATAAAAGTGTTTATATCAATTTAATAGAAATATGTGAACTTAAGTATACGTTTCGGGTCAGTGAACTGATGATCCTTTACAAGCATTGAAAGATAACTTGGTCTTAATAGGACTGAACCAAGTTGTCATGAGTAATATTTACTTGAAATAGTCTAGTGGTGTAAGAAATATTGAGGATCAAAAATAAGTTAATATGTTTTAAAAACTCGTAATTTATTCACATGTACACTAGTCAACACTAGTGTTGCTGAATATTAAATGAATGATTAAACATGAGAACACAAGTATCATTATACATTCGTTCAAAACTACGTTGCTGTGGCATGGCAAGAACGTGCATATTGTGACCCCCGAACCAGTCTTGCCTTATCTGCCGGCTAGCTCAGATGGCAATGGGTCACTTGCAATTGAGTAAGGTGGACGTTGTTGTTTAAGAATGAAATAAGTTATTAAATGAGGTAAAATTTAAAGTTAAATCACACAACAATAAGCATAAGCATAGTAAGAAGTGCGTTCCTACTTAAGTCAGTTTCTCAGAAAACAAAACTTATTCCAGCTAAAATCTAACACACTCGTAATTCCAAGCAGTTGAATGCTACGTAAATTAGAATTTGTATATTATTTCATAGTTCATTATTCGTGTCTTACATTCTAGCGTTTGTTACACAAATTGTTTTAAAAATTATTTAAAATCTTTTATAATTGCTTTCTTTAATTGAGTTAAATGTGAAAACAAATAGATGATTTCGCTTTGAATAATATGTGGAAATGGAAGAGCAACACGAATAAAAACCGAGTAATTTTGATGAATATAAAATAATATATTTAATTATCCATTTTAATTTTCTTTCTAGTGGTTCTAAGAATTCTAATTGCAAAATTTGTATCTCTTACGAATTAACGGTCATTATTGCTTGTTCCTACTCTTTGTTGTAACGCACTGATAACCCACTGATAATAAAAGGCGATAATGACGACCGCCTTTCGTTCCCGTTAATATGAATATGAACTAATAATTTGTTTACACCTACAATACACATCGCGCAGCGTTTATACATTTATATAGAACGGGAATACACTGAGTTGAATGGCAGAAAACGTTTCGTTTAAAAATTTAAATAAAAAAAATGTTTTCACGATTCGTTTTTTTAAGAATTTTTCAAATAGAAGTTGAAGTGTAAAACAAAAATAGTTATATTGTAATATTAATAATATCGCAAGAAACAACGTGGCACCACTAGCTTAAAAATCAAAAGAGTACATGAAATAGCGTATATGTCATGTAATTCAGTGCATGATTCACAATCCGTACAAGACGTTTTAAGAAAAATATTGGAGTTATTTTTGAGAAAATAAAATGTTTCGTCTTTGAAAATGCCCAATTTTGAGTTCATTGACAAAGAGAAGTTTTTGAGAAAATTTATGTGAATTAATTCAAAGAGCATGTTGTCAAAAATAAAACAGTGTATAACAAATGCCCGTTATATAAGTAATAACGACGCAATACATAAAGAAAATAAGTTCTGTAATTTTTAAAAAATCTAAATAATACATCCAAATATAGTTTATGTCACGTCATTCAGTGTATGTAGCACTATCCGCGCAGAAAGTTTAAAGAAATAATTGGAGGCTTTTGATATTATTTTGTTTTTAAATTTCTTAATATTTTCCATATTTCACTGAAAATTAAGTAGTCATATTTTCGAAACATTGTATTTGTCCTGATTTAAAGATATAATTTTGAATAACATGTTATTCAGAAGAAAAATCTTTTCTTCAGTTATGTAGTAGTAGGAAGACACAAAAAAATTTGAACTTTTGCAATTATTAAAAATTTGGTTATTTCATCGAAATTGAGACTTGTGCTATTTTTAGATACTTTAATCCAAAGTTAAGTTTAATCCAAAAAATTGGTGCCATTTAAAAAAAAATTAAAATGTTCTTGAGTGTTATTGTGAAGTTTTCTTCAAAATAAAACATCTGTTTCAAATTTAAGGGACCGCATTAGCAGTCAGCTCGACTGGGAAATATCAATTTTCACGCACAGACGTTCTACCGTAAAATAATTTTTAGTTATCAAGAACCCACAAAACTTGGATTCTGACTTCACGACGACGTGTAAGAGGAAATAATAAACTACGAGTACATGTATGAATCAGAATTATCCTCTTTTTCGGTATCAAGGATCTATAATACAATTTCTTTGGCCGAAACAAACGCCGTTTTTTGCCGCTGAATTACATAACTTCCTCTACACTACGTAAGTAGTACGCGAGAAAGAAACAATATATTTGTGCTGTTTGTAAATTACAAAACATTGAAACATATAAATCTGCGTGCATTTACCTAAAATGATTCCATCAACCTGTTTCTAGAATTTTAGAAACTTAGGGTGAAACATTTTTGAGATAATGTGTCATATGTTCAGGTAATTAACATTGAGAGATAGGTCTTTGTTTCTCCTCATAACTAATATTGTAGAATATTATAAAATATATGGTGGTGTAGGGTTTCCTTTAACGGCACAATCTCTTTTTGTCAGTTGCACACTGGCAACCGTCACACTGCCCAGACTCTCCATCCGCATTAGGCAGAATCACATAGTGTTTTCGTTCACTGGCTCTGTGGTTACCAGTGCTCAGATCGGTGATATATGAAACGTGGAAGCTGCTGTGGATTTTTATAATTAATGGGGTTTATTGTGAAGTTATTACCTGTCTTGTCCTTAACTCAGTGTGAAAGTTATGACTCCTTCCGACCTCAGCACAAACGTGAGAACTGATTCAACTTGAGTTCAACAAGCTTCTAACAACCTGAATATTAAGAAAATTTATAACGCTAACATTAAAACTCTCTCGTTTATACAGAAAAGAAAATTCGATTATTATTATTATAATTATTATTATTATTATTATTATTATTATTATTATTATTATTATTATTATTATTATTATTATTATTATTTATTAATTATTATTATTAATTATTATTATTATTATTATTATTATTATTATTATTATTATTATTATTATATATTCGGCGAACAGTGAACCAACTGCAGTGCTCATAAACAACAACAATTACCTACCTAAGTTTATCTTCAGTATATTGTGGTAGAACGGGCATTGTAGTAATAATCCAATTAGTCGCATCCTTTGTTTTCGCCGCCAAACATTTGTTTCTCCGGATGATGCACAGAAATTACAAAATGTATTTCAATTATTTTTAGATACATGAATCAAAATATGAATTTACTTGGTTTTATGATATAAATAGAACCACACCGCCAAAAACTGACCAAATTAATATCTATAGCAAATAACTGATGAAATTCTTCATCCCACGGAAATAGAAATCACCCAACCATCTAGATTCGTTATTGATAACACTGAGAATGACTACCTCGACAGAAGTTCAATCTCCACCTCCTAAAAAAAGATGAATGTGAGTTTACACTTTTAACCATGCCTCTGCTAGCGATTCAGCTTCGGTCAGCATTACAGTAGTAAAGTCGGCTTACTCTAATCCAGTTAACTCAAATGAATACTCTTCGGACTTTGACCTTTCAACTTTCCACCTACCCCAGTAATATCTCCTTCAATTGATTGATTATTGATAAGGTCATTAGTCCTGTAAGTGTAAGCATGTTTCCTCGAGAGGCGACGGTGATCTTCTACCGCTGGATGGTGAGATCTGGCGCCGTCCTACTGACGTTTTTTCTCAACGGAATTCTCTCAACCAGGTATCTCCCACCAACGATGCACCACCCAACCGGCACAAGCTCTAAACTCCCGACCGGTTTCCCAGCAAGTGTGGTAGAGTAGTGCACGTGATTGAAAGTGTGTGTGTGTGTGTGAAGGGTGAGAATAGGACAAGGATGGGGAAGGAAACTTCGCGCGCGGTCCGTGACCTGTTTCTTACAGCACTGCTCCGGTACACACCTAGTATTGATAGGTGAAACAACGGAAAACCACCAATCAAAGCAGCCGACTGCTATAATTCTCTTCCAAATAGCAACTGAATTCGACCCAGCTATGTAGCTAGTGCCGAAACCCCTCTTCCTTCAGCAGGATAACGTCGCTGATAAGCACAGTGAAGAAGACTCGAACAAAGGCCCTGCAAGTAGAAAGAAAACGCGTCTTTCTACGGGCTACTCATCACAAACTTCTCTAGCAAAGGCTTGTTTGACTCGGTGACTGGTAAAGCTGCCGCGGATGCCTCGTGACCACACAACACTACAATTTTGCCCGCGAGCTGCCTTGTGTTGGGGAGGGGATGGACGACACTCAGCGGCAGGGAAAAGGCTTCGGTAGAGGACTGGGCGCTGGATCGCTCACGGGGTGCACGACAAGGGTGAGGATAGGACAAGGAAGACACACACTTTCAATCACGTGCACTACTCTACCACACATGCTGGGAGACTGGTCGAGAGTTTAGAGCTTGTGCCGGTTGGATGGAGCCTCGCTGGTGGGAGATACCTGGTTGAGGGCAACGCGAATTATCTTTCTATTTCTCGCCTTATTCTAGTAACTTTAAGAACCTGGTTAGTGATATTGATCTCATTGCAAATCTTTGTGCTTTGAGCATCACGAAAGTAATACTAAAATTACACTTTTAATGTCGAATATTTTAAAATTTACATGTGCTTAAAAGAAATGTGCCAAACGATTATCATTATTTCAAAAAATTCCGGAAATATATCTGGAAAATATAGCTTGAATTTAAATTTTCAAAATGTGCCAAAAGTGTTGAGAAGAGTTGTTATTAAAAAGATTGTAAAGCGTACATACTACGTTAAAAATACAATGCAAAATATTTCCGTAGCGGAATGAAGGTGAAACCAATTGGAAATTTATTATGAATCAAAATCATTGTTCAGACGCTTTTAATCTTGCCTAGATAGATCCCTTCTTCAAGATTAACAACATAAAATTTATATTTTGAATATGTGCATGCAAGTTGATACTGAAAAGTGCGTATAATTTAATTACTGGCACTGAAATACTGACAAAGTTGCTGCGTCCATTTCGTAGTTTCCGCTGAATGGGGACCTGTCATCAAGTTAGAGATGGACGCGCCATGCGCT